GAAGCAAACACAAATTGTGGGAATCTGCTGCTCCAACTTACCTGCCCTTGAAGATAAAATACTTAAGTCATTCCAGTGGCTATAAAAGAAACCTCAAGAGATTGACTCAGACTTAGGGATCTATTATTATGGCAATAGTTGTTAAGTTAGGGGATTCACTACCACCTTACTATTATATGATCACCAGTTTTTCTAAAAACATAAAAATGTCCATGTGATGGAGCACAAAACAATACATCCTGTTCTTTATTCTTGTACAGGTGACTCCAGCCATTTCACCAAAGGTTACAATAAGTATCTTTCAGTAATGCTATTTATCAGTTTTTCTTGTATTTTTTTCCAAGTACTGTTAAAAAATAATTGGTCTTAAAATTCCCTGAAGTGAAAAAACAAGGAGTAGAACAATTGGTAACATTGATTTTTAAGGTAACTCCGAGTAACCAGATTAATTCAAAATGAGATTTTTTTCAGTGTTTCATATAAACTGTATGAAGTTTTCATAACATTGTTAGAGGAAGGTGTATGGAGATTTGATCTAAACTACTGATTGCTACTGTTTCTCTCTCAGATTCCAAAACAACCTCCCTCTGCTAAAACCTGATATTTACTGAGAAGAAGAAAAACAAGTTGAAAGTAAGCACCTTTAAATGCTCTGAGTTCTAATAAGGACATATGCCTTAGTGAGTTTCACACTTCGTGGATTAAAAAAGTATGAAATTTGATTATTTAACTATTCTGAACCTTAGTTCATTACATTATGAGTAATTAACAAGACCTCATTTCCTACAGATGCAAAAATAAGAGATGACAGGTTGAAAATTGTTGGATAGAACATTTTTCTAATCAAGGTGAATCCTTATAAGCCTAATTACAGAACCTCTCATTACAGTTTTAGCTTGGATAAACTGATACCGTTTGGCTTTGTACTGAAAATGAAGTCCTAAACATAATCACAAAAAAAAATCTGTTCTACAAAGACAGCATGTCCATTAGACTGCTATTCTTGAGGACTGGAATGAGAGTAAATTTTGCGATCTTGAGTCAGGGGACTTAAGTTTGACTCTCATTTTGGCAATATTTTTCTGATCTGATCTTGGGTGAGCTGTGTTACCTACATCTTTGTTGCCACAAGAGTAAGTTAAAGTTACTGCTACTTCTGTAACTTCCAAGGTGTTGTAAAGCTGAATTAATCTTTGTCAGAAAAGTCCCTACTATGGATATATGGATAACACCTGAGGAAAGGCAAAGTGATTTTATCTGGATTAACTAAAGAGATCAATTCTGGGATACTAAGACAGCAAATGCCTATGTGACATTATTATTCTTATGAACAACTGGGAAAATGCAGAGACAAACAGTGTTTCAAACACTTTCCTTAAGCGATTTCAGCCTGCTGACAAATCAGGCCTTTGAGGAAAGATGATGTTACGTCCAATTTTTCTATAATTTTTCATGCATTTAATCTAACTGCCAAGTACTGGTTCAGTGTTTAAGAGTTTATTACGAGTCTCCAAGCATCCAGACAGTACTTTAGCATTCTGACGCTAAAGGGTTTAGAATCTAATTTAGATTTTATTAGCTCACATAACCAGGTGAATAGGGAGTGCTTGGTAAATTTATGCCATTCAACCTTCTTTCACAAAAGAATCTCTGTATCGGTCTGATAGTATTGAGGATAATAGAAATGGTCTACAATAGTAGAGTGCCTGGGGACAACAGGGCCTAAGTCATTGCAGAGACATTGCTGCTAAGTCTGCAGAGAGAAGAATGTTACAATGCAAACAATTTTCTAGATGTTTTTTTACAGAGGCCGTACAAATTAACAGATTAAATCCTCCCATACACATATCTGTGTGAAGGAGGTAGGTGTACCCCCTATTTTTAGAAAAGGATTAAAAATGTTTAAGTCCAAACTTTTTACAAGCTTCTGCTGAAATTATGCCTTTAAGTATCTCATGCACTACAGTATGCAGAGGATTTGCATATTAGTAAGGATATATTATCTGTTTAAGAAGCATTGCAAAAACAATGCAGAAGAGTCAGCACATTTCTACACAAATTTTAACAATGCCTGTTGCTCTGCACTAGGCCAGAGGAGATCTGTGCCGTACCATGACTGGGACTGGAGTTCCCAACCCTTTGTCCTATGCTGTCTTGAATGAGGCAATCTGTTTTGTAGCATTTTGCTTTTCTTGATCTTTTCCCAGAGCAAGAAAGACAGAGTATTTTGGTCAGAAAGTCAAAACTAACTTCTGCCAAGCATATTGCATCCTGTTGCTGTAGGCAACACAATTCAACAGCTTCATATTTTAGTACTTTTAAAGGTCAAAAAAATATCTTTTTTACCTCCTATTCTTTTGTTACTGTTTATGTATTTTCAAACGAGCGCAACACTGTGAAGAATAGTCAGCATACTGCCAAATGTGAATAGCTTGTATTTCAATGGAAACTTAGTCTGGGAGTTGGACATTCAGGTTTTCCACTGACATAATGAAAACAAGCTGAACAGACTTTACATAATTTTTCAGTAAGTATTTCTTGCATGAAATCTAAATTTCCCTCTTCCTATTTTTTTTCAAATTACTACAATTTAGCTTCACTACCATGACTACAAAAATTCTGACATTTATAATGCAAAGTTCTAATGATTTATTTTTTTTTTCCTCCCTAGGCCTTTTATCTTGTCTTTTTGCCTCTTCTCAGGTTGAATGGAAACAACTACAGGGAAAAGAACAGAAAAGTGCCTATTGCCTACTAGGGAACTCCATCAACTAAGCTTCCTAAGGGTGTTTAAATCAATTCTCCCCAGACAGATTTCAATTAGGATAATTACTACCCGCTTAAAGCTCCCTTCACGGTAGCCATTGTCTAAGTGGTATTCAGTGCTATCACACAAAGGAAAATGTTTATATAATGGTTATGTGCCCCATAAAGAAGAGGGGAGTTTAGAATAAACTGGCCACACAGAGAGGCCTCATCTCCATCCAACAAGCAGGTCCATGTGGATCTGTAGCGTTCTGATCCAGACTGGCCTGCATGATTAAAGCCAGTGTTCGGGGTGAGAGAATTCTTCAAGGATAAGAAATGCACTTTACCTTGAGCAAAACAGCTTTTCAGGAACAAGATCCTTTCAGGTACCCCTAGCAGGCATTTGTTTCTGATAGTCCTTATTCCCACTCCAGAACTCCAGATGTGTTTGGACTATTAGTACTAGTATTTGAGACCAGTGGTTGGCGTAGCTCAGCTGAATTGTACAAATCCCACCCGAGAGGCAGTGGACTGCTAAAAGTCCACTTATCTTGCTCTGCCCTGGCAGCACACTAGGAGCTGGTCTGTAAAAAGTTTTCTTAGCTGAGATTTTCATGTTCCCCAGGGGGTAAAACAAGCTCCTATTGAATGATTTTGTCCCAAATGGAGGTAGGGAGAAAGAGGTGGAAGAGGAAGGACCAAAATGGCTAGTTGTCCTAGTCATAATCACCTGACAGACCTATTCCACATTCTCTTTATATCACAAAGATCAAGGGCTGAATCCTCAGTGTCCCAAATCCCCACTGCATGCTCCTGCCCTGCTTCCAAGGCTACCAGCTAATCTAGTGTAAATCTGTCTCCCTCCCAGCACAGCTTCTGCTGTCCACAAGCTGCTCTTCGGAGCAGGGGAGTGCACAACTGAAACTTGGTAGTGAGGACACGCACTGAGGGATCTGAAAGAACAGGAAAGAAATCGCTGCTGAAATGATGGCTTGTTTCTATGGAAATGAACAGCTCTAACAGGCCAGCCAAGGTGGGATCCACAGCAGCACAGCAGGTAACCAAAGCACTGCATGGGAAGAGGCAGCCTAACTGAGATGGAGCAGGGCATGAGACCTTGGTCTCAAATCCTGAGTGAATGCCCTCCCCAGAACAGTAGCTGGAGTGGGCATAGAGTGTCTCTTTAGCTAGAAATTGCTTTCTGAGAAATCTCTCCTAGGACACTTTTAGCAAATCTGGTATGGATGGCCTCACACATTAAGACCTAGTTTCAATGACTGCTGCCAACATTATGTTTTTTCAGAAAATTCCCAGTCAGTTCTAATCCCAGTGATCCTGAAGGAATGCTGAAAGACAACAGTGTGAGACTGGCAGAGATAAACCTGATACCAGCTGCAGGCTGCTAAGAAATATTGCTAAACTTTGAGTGACAAGTAAATTGTTTGCAGTGTTAATGTGGTTAAACTCTTTCCACTGGTTCAAAGTAAAGCTGCAAATCACGAAAATTTTCTTTTGCATTTAAATACTGCAGTGCTGTGCAAATGCCTGAGATTCTGAACCCGAGTGCTTTGTTAGAGGAGTCTATGGCTGAGTAAGCAGAAAAAAGTAAGCTTAAGTGCAGAGATGAAGTAAAGGTTGTTTATGGAGATCATCGGTATGACATGGTTGACAGTATCGGTAAATATGAGTTTGTTTTTAAAGGACAGAAGGTACAGAATGTTCGTAAGGGGCATCAGAAAGATACTCTATAAGGAGCAACAGGACTAGCAAGCAAAAGTACTAGCTTTTTGTCTGTTCTTCATAGACATTTTGCTGTAGCAGAACTCCCTCTTGAGAATGAACCCCCCCCTAAAATACAGCTGTAGCAACACATTTATAAAAGCAGCTATTCAGTCAAATATGACTTAACCGAAGCTTGACTTGGATTCAGCTTTTTCTTGAATACAAATGAGTACCAAATTCCAGCATACTTATAACCATAAATTACATTTTCAATTTAGTCAGGGTTATCGCATCTCATTTCTTTCAACTGTCAAGGTTTACAATACAGTACAAATGCGTTACACACAAATATGTCCTATTCTTTCTCTGTGAAAGCTGTTGCTGCCCACGGACTGGCTTCCTAACAATAAGTACCAGTCAGAACATGGAAAACACCACTTCTTTCATATTCACCACTGTTTAAAATAGTGACATTATCTAAGATAACAAATCATGTCAAGTCTGAGAAATAAGAAAATATAAATATATACCTTTCTCAGTACAGCAGAAGCTGTTCCCTCCGAGCTTTTGCTGCGCTGCTCTGCTGTGGATTTTATAGAATAAGAGTCCAAGAGCCTGCAGTATTCAGTCACATTCGATCACATCACAGGAATAGCTTATCAGTTCTGTTACACAGACTCTAAAAGGAGCGGTGTCCTTTTCCCCAACTCCTCCTTTCACAGATTTCTACACTCCTTAAAGGTGCTCAGTGCTCTAATAACCCTAGAGAAAGCTGTTCATCTGTCTCCTAATGACAGTGTTCTTGTTACTTAGTTACAGCACAGCGAATGCTGACAAAGTCAGGTATGAGCCAAATCTGTGCTCAGTGTAAATGCACTGTGTTCAATCAAGCAACTCCGGGAATGAATTTGGCCCAAGGGATTTAGTTCTTTTTTCAGCTCAGACGTGGCATGCTACAGCCAGTGCAGAATTCGTAGAAACAAGACCTAGGCATGTGGGTTAAATATAGAGTGCCGCTGGAGGGAGGGGAGGTATGTATAGCAAATTGCTTAACAGCAACTACAGAAGGAGGCACAATCAATACGTTATAAATAGTACGCTTGAATTTCTATAGCTTCTAGTTGGAAAAATATTCTGCCACAAACAGCTCTAAGATAAAAGAGGAGGCTTATTCTAATAAACCTGTTTTCAGCTTGACTGTCTATATTGTTTCCTTCGAGGTGGAAACAATATAATCAAGCTGCAATTAAATTGCACCATAAAAGAAAATAGTAAGAAAAACCAAACACAATGTGCTAGTAGTTCGCTGCTGTATTCTCACTACAAAACTCAGACCTAGTCAGTGAGTATTTGAAGCTCTAGCCTAGAAACTTTTTAAAGATTTAAAGAAAGGGTTTGTACCAAGTGTGGCAGAAACAGGAGCTGAAGATCTGAAAATAAGCTTTGTCACATGAGGGAGGAGGTCCTTGAAAAAATTAGGGACTACCTGAGAGCATGACCAGAGAAGAATACAAAATTTTAAGTGGATGAATTGAATAAAGAATTGTGGGAAAAGGAGGTAGGTGAAGATCAAAGTGGTTTTAGTAACTCTAAACAAAACATAACTAAGACCCTGCAATATAGCACAGTACCCAATGTCAATACAGAATAACTTTGAAGTATCCTTTCCATGTATAACAGAGCTTTAGCTCATATTATATTTTCTTATAATCCAGACATCAAGCAGAACAAAGAATGAAATAAGCAATACTGCACTCCAGCTTCACTGACAGTAATTTCCTGTCTGGTCGAAAGCTGGTGTGAAAGCATGACAAGTTGTGTCTGCACGATCCCTGATGCCACCCACAGTTAAAATTAACTGAGAATTTCTTTCACTGCTGGGCTGTGGAGAAAAGAGCTTAACACAGTAAAACTTATTCTGTGCACTGACCTGGTTCTGTAAGCATACAGCTATTCTTTGGAGACATCCTTGCAGTTAACTATAGCTAGTTGTGAACTAGTGGGTGGTATCAGCCCAGCTTCTGCTTAGCAGCATAAATTAGTGCCAAGACTTACCAGATTGAACAGCGTCCCATGACAACACTTCTAAAGAACTTCTAACTTTGAGCTGAATCATATTCTTCAGGCTAGAAGCATGGGAGGAGCAAACTTGCTTCTGCCTGCCCACAACTGTTTATTTCTATGATAAAGGCTATGCCTGCAAAGTAACCCTTTCTGCTGTCTAAATATTTCATTATATAAGTAAAAATGGTGAATGGCAATAACGGCAAATTAGATAAAGCCAGAGGTTCAGTTAGTTAAACCACCTGAACTGTGTGATAATGTCCATAGGTTGCTTCCAAATTAACAGAAAGTTGAAATCTTGTAATATGTTATTATAGGATAATTTTTTCTTCAAGAGAAGTTTCTTTGGTAGGCTGTTAGACATTGCCTTATGCCTTTCTTTAATCTACCTTTTTGCCCGAGACAGGGCTTATATCGGTATGGATATTTTTGTAGTTTTTACTAACATAATAACAATGCTACAAACTCCAGAGTGCATAAATTTATACGCTATTCACATGAGTTATCCCTCTCTAGATAGTAAAAATTTACCCTGATATCTGAGAACTATTAAGAGCTAGAAAAGTATTGGTGCAATACAATTTTTATGTAGGGATAAGATCTTACAAGATAGATTTAGTGTTGCAGAATGTCAGGATACTGCATTCACAGGGCACATCGATGGGAAGATGTAGACTCAGGACGTCTTAACTTGGGAGCAACATCACATGAATGGCAACAGTTCAGAATAACTGGCTAGTTCAGACTGGCTTGCTCTGACAGTTGGGAAAGTTAAGCTCTGATCTGTCTGCACAAACTTGAGTAGACTTGCTCATGTACAGAGCTCCCAGTCTCAAATGGAGCCTACAGGGCTGCAATCACATGATGCAACGTAGCAGTGCTATCCCCACTTGCTGTGCATACCACAGAGCTAAAGCTTTCCCAGTAAATCCATGCCTGGCATAACAACAAATGGCATTCCCTTCTTCTAATAATCCTGGCCAAAGACTAGTTTTTAAAAGCCTAAACAAAGGGAGACAGGAGAGCTAGCACATTATCATAAACCCCACAGATCATGTGAAACACTGAGTGGAAGAAAATTCTTTTGAGCTTGCATTTTCAGAATAGCAGAAGGGATTTTCTTTTATGTGAATTTGCTGTTTTCCACAGTCAAATTAGTTTCTCTTGCTGAGAAACATGCAAAAGAGGAATTTTGAGAAAGGAAGCACCACTCATGTATGAATCAGGAAACTGCCTGCAGATATCTAAACCAGGAAAAAGCTAAAAGAGGAGAAAGACAGCCAGCAAAGTTGTATTCCAAATTTTGACAGATATTACAAGCAGTTAGACTATTTTGTGTTTACTATGCATCTTAAAAGGTTATCATCTAGGCTGAAAAAAACCTTCCTGCTTTCAAAGATTTTATAACTCCTCATGAAAAGTTTGAAGCTCAGTTAAGTCTGGTAATCTATGTTGAAGCATTTGAATGAAGTCAAGAACTTGTGTTACTTGAAGATCCATCTGTTTCTGCTGTTTTTTTCCCATACTTGCAATCAATTAGTTGTCTAGGACAAACTATGAACAGACAATTCTGTGTTAAGGAAAGAAGGACTAAAATGGCATAGATTAAATTCTGAACAACAACGAGTCCTACTCTCGGACAAATTTCTGACCATAAAAAAAGAAAACGCAAGTAAAGGGGGAAACAGCAACAAAGCTGAAACGTTAAATCGTTTCTGTTGGTTCATGGACCTATGCACAAATGTTTCCAGCAGAGGAAGCACTGTGAGCTGAAGGATGTATTCTTTGTAACAAGATGTCCTTTTGGAGCACTTAGCATATATTAGAATGGTTTGTTTTCTTTTAGAATTATATTTTTAAATTGAATTTAAATGATGACCTAATTTAGAGTAATTGTGTGCTGTGTATATTTTTCTTAGCTTACTCAATGTACTTATTTTAGATACATTTACAGACCTTACATAAAAAATCATTAGTTAATGGGACTTGATATTTGTCCCATCTTAACAAAATGTTGTACTTTGTAGACTTCACAGGGAAATCTGATTATCACCTCTATCTCATAAACCAAAATTAGTAATTTTCTTCCCTTATCAGTTTGACTTTTAACTCTCCTAAAGATTGATTTGTCAAAGCTTTTAAAAGCAGATATCAAAAATGCAGAAAAATACAGCAGAGTTGGACTATAAGCAAACCGCTACAGACTCCTTCACGCTAATGTAAAGCAAAACCCAACAAAAAGTAATATTGGCAAATTCTTTCTACACAAGCCAGTTAAGAAGCCTCAGATAAGAGTGGTAAAAATACTTCTTTTGTTTACCCACAATCTGTGTCTTTGAACAAGGATCCTCACTTGTCAGCATAACCCCCACATTAGAATACTATCCATATATCTAGTAATTTGAATCATGAGAAGGTTTTACCTTCGGTTGGAGGAAGTCTAAGGACTGGACCACCCCTCCCCTGCTACTATTTATTCTATCTTTTTTGTAGCTCTGGGACATGACTTTCTCAGTTGCCAGGGACTATGTCACTATTTCCTCTTTTGTATTCACCATTTGACATGCCTTTCTTCCACATGCTCTTTCATTCCCTCCTCCTTACTGCTTAATGCTAAGGACACCATGCTACACACTAGCAGAGGAACAAGAACAACAACAACAGAGTACAATGAATCACAAGAAAGATGGTAAGAAATCAAGAAGTCCTACGTTATGCAGAGACCTCTTAGTTCAACCAGTGATCCAGTACCGTTCACTGACACTTCTATAAATTATTAATTTGGTCATGCAACAAAATGCAACCTCTAATATAATCCACTTCCCACTCCACCCACTAAAAAAGAAATAATGTGATGACTTCCAGAGATGGTATCTACCTGACACCTCTCCACCTTGGCAGATCGCTAATCTGGGAACGTAAGACATAAAGTAAACCATGCCAGAAAAACAGGAAAGACAAGAAGATGTGTTTGAAAAGTCAAAATTTCTAAAACATTAGGTAGAAAAGGTATTTGGTCCTGGTTGTCTTCATGAGGAAGAATTTAAGTCAGCCATTGATAAATGTAACAAAAGGTATTTCATATGAAGGAAAAAAGTACAGAATTCCAAGCTGTCCTTACAGTAAATTCAAAAGAGGAAAGCCTGCCCATTAGCAGAAACAATTCATGCCTTACAAAACCTCTATTTTTGTTGAATGGATTTATATATATTTTAGAAATGTATTACAGTGGTGCTTCCTTTGCCCTTTTAATACCACACTGTATAAAGTACATTGAATAAACATCTCCCTCGGGAAATAAACCAAGCCACATCTAATGTATTAAGTTAATTTATGACTTTAAATATCACTAGCTACAACTGACAAAATTCTGTGGAAATATGATGTTAAGTCTGATAGCTATCTTGTAAGAAGTTTTTTTTTAATCCCAAGTTTTGAAAAAATATGCTTTCATTGCAGAAACACAATGCTTCATGTAAATATTTCCCAATACTAGTATGTATTTGCCACTAAAGGACTTAATGCTTGCTTTCTTAAAAGAAATGAAGATATATATCATATATATATGTAAAAAAAATGTTTATCACTGATTATTCTGATCAGCTTAATGCTAATCACAAAAGAATTAAAATAAGAGAGTAGAAAGCTATAGGAGATGAGCCAAAGACACATTAGAAACCATACCTGATAATGAGAATCTGTCTCTGGTCCCTGAG